TTTCTCATAGCACACAGTCTCTGTGAAGTGCAGCTTTGTGGAAGCTGATCTGTTTTCCTTGGCAAGGTCAGTGGAAGCCAGTCCTTTTGATTTACATAGAAACAGGAGTGTAAATGCACCCAGACACTTATAATTCATACATACACACACACACACACACACACACACACACAATACCCTAAATAATCCACCTTCCTACTTCTACCCCAGATTTCATCTCACCTATGGGCACAGACAGATGTGTTGATGCACATGTGTTGAGAGTTTCTGCTCTGTCAGCATTGGCTAGCTTGGTGATCTGCCGCAGCTGGTGAAGTTTCCCAGAGACCTTAATGTTCTCTCAGTGCATGGTCATACACTGGAGTTTATAAACAAAAACCTAAATGTCCATATTCTAAGACAGCAATTCAAACTTTGCAAAGCTCTTTGAAATATACCTTTCTATAACTTCCCAGGTAAAAAGTACTTAATGTAAAAACGACTCTGTTTTAAATTTCTAAGGATTTTCGAAAAATTGAGTTATATATTCTGAATTTTGAAAAGATGTTGGGCATACTTTCAGTTTGAGAACTTATGACAATATGTATCAATAACTACTTTTTTAATAAATACAGGTTTGCCCTTATATAACTTAAATTACATTTGAGTTTTACCTTGCACCTAATAGGAACTGGAACTCCAAGTAGACTGTTTGTTTTAAAGTATTTATGAGAGATTATGTTTTAAAGTAGGGTATGTAGAATTTGAAGGTAAATTCAAAATTATCCTCAAATATTTTCAACRTAGATATCAATCTTAATTTCAAACCTTCAAACAATGACATCCAGATTTAACTTACTTTCAAAGTATTTCCTGAATAGATTATTTTGTATGTGAGTGAAATCAGTGTGTATTTTTCTGTTAAAAAATGTCCATTTTCCCTCCACACAGTGAACATGGCCACAAGCAGGCTCATAGGGGCCGTGGCCGGCACCATTCTGGCCCTGGGGGTGATTTTTGGAGGCACAGGGTGGGGAATAGAGTAAGCATCCTTGTGCATTTCAGAGTGTTTCTGTTCGGTGCCTGGTGTGCGGGGTGATGCGTGGTGCCTGACTTCACGTGTGTCTTGCTGGCTGTGTTTCCTGTGGTGGTACAACTTGTGGTATGATTTGGATGTGTTGGTGTCTTGTGATCTTTCTCGTGCAATGTAGAACCTTCTCCTGTCTGGAMCAATGTGGGGCATAAAACAACCTTGGGGGTGCTTATATTTTTACAATTAATGCACTAATCCAAAACTTCCATTGCTCCTCCACTTATAACAGTAATTTTCAAATACAAGCCTTAACATTTTTTTTATCATTATTTATTGGCAAAAAATGCTCTCACACTAATGTTTTCTTAGGATTGCTGTCATAAATTTAATCCTCACCAATCAAATGAAGCCACCTATACAAGTAGGAGTTATCCACAGAGCATTTTTTTACAGATAATAAGAATAATGATCACTGAATGTTTTCTCCATTTATTTAGAATGATATAGGAGTTTTCAGCGCAATGTTTTTTAAAGAGGATATTTTGACGACTGCTTTTATTTCTTTATTATAAAATAGGTTAAAAAATTCAAATGTGAAGTTCACATAAATATTTGGGAGCAAGGAACATTAAGAATCAAAAGATATTTAATCCAAACCTGCACCACCTTAAGTGAAAAGCTGCAATTCATCTAGTGGGTCTGTGTTAAAAGTATTCAGTGTATAAATAAATGTGTTGTGTGCCACTTGCCCATTAAGCTCTCAGAAGCACAGTTCTCCTGGTGTCTTTATTTAGGTTGTCCTGCACTTGATCCACATCCTCAGAATAGCTGTCAATTCTCCATGTAATACTACCAAATGAGATTGTTAATCTGTAGACTAAAAGATCGTTGGGATTTTTTTCTCTGTGTGTAGTTACAGAAAGAGCCTTTACAAATAGCAGAAGTAGCCAGTCACACTTTTTTTTTAATTTTTATTTTTTACTGTGGTAACACTTCACAGTGACTCAAGAAGAAATTACTAGTGTCTTAAGGAATCACCAGATATCCTTTACCCAACCAGCCCAAAACACAGGCATGTTGATGATTTCAGCCTCTGTCTACCTTAGTCCCCTTAGTTGGTGACACCTGGATGTTCTTTTATGAAAGTTGGGAAATCCAAGAACTGAAATACCATCAAGAGGAGAGCAGGTCCCCAGGTTCACACTTTGTGGAAGGTGACAAGAATTCTCCTCTATATGGGATCTTAACTCATCTTTCATCAGTATAGACTGTGAAGCTAGTTAGGCCAGGAGAAGTTGAAGTACTGGAAAAGAGATTTTTGTTTCTCCTTACTTGTCAGAAAATAAAGTATGCAACAGAGGTAAAAAAATATTTAGAGAAAACAAGAACTTTGCCCTGTAAAATTTCACCTTGATCTGTTGACTGGATTATACATCCCAGTGACATTCCTTTCCAAGAACAGTTCTATAGATACATTTAGATGAGAGACCTCTGTGAAGAAAGGTAGTTTTCTAAAAATCATCCCAAATGTGGATTTTTTTTTACATTATTTATTGGTCATAATTTTGTCATCCTGAAATATACTAATTGAAGGGATGGATTTTAATAATTCTTCCCTTGAGTCTTAGAGATGGGCAGAATCAAAATGGCCTTGGTAGTAAACACAGTCCTGTTTCCAGTTTGTTTCTATCATCCATTCTTTCCAGTGTTGCTATTTCTGGTTGTGACAGGTAAGTGTGTATAAGTGTATAAAAATTGGTCTGTTATTGTTTCATGAACTGTTTTTGCAGTTTTCTGACTTTTTCCCTTCATATTCCAAATTTTGACCTGATACCAAGTAAATATAGCATTTACAAAATAAAATTCACATAGTACAATATAGATTGTTTTAAAACTTTCTACCTTAAATAATAGTGTCTTTTTCATTTAGTCACTAAGGATTCCTTGCACAGGTTTAGTTTCCTAAACATGTCTGCTCAGTTTATAATTGTAAATCAGAGATCAAGAGATCATTTCTCAAGGATTATGTATTATTGTTTGATGCCCACCTGTGTTTTCTAAGTTAGCAAAATGCAAGTTATCTGCCGTTTTGAGTGTGTACTTGGAAATGTGAATTTTTTTAAGTGCTTGTTCCAAAATTTGATTCCTTCCTGAAATGCGGGGAGGAAATATATGTAAATGGAATAAAGTTCCATCAGAACAAGAGTTAGCAAACTTTCTGTAAGGGCCCAGATAGTAAATAGTTTCAGCTTGCAGGGGTACAGGATATCTATTGCAACTTTTCAACATTGCTGTCTTAGCAAAACAAGAGCCATGGCAAAAGATAACAATATGTAAATGAATAAGCATGGCTGTGTTCCAATAAAATGTCTCTGGAAAAACAGATCGTAGGTTAGATTCGGACTGTGAACTCTAGTTCACTGACCCTTGATTTAGTGCATAAGTTTTAGAGTCAGATCTGTGTTCAGATCTTGCCTTCATCACTTACTAACTTCTAGAAGCTTCTGTTCCCTCCTCTATTGAACAGGGATAGTCATAGTTCCTACCTCATATGTGATGTGGAGGATCAAATGAGACAATATGTCAGATGTTCTGATTTGCACCTGGCACATTGTAAGTGCCCATTATATGGCAGCAAAACTGCTTTTATTGCTCTCAGTTTTATTATGTATTATTATTGGCACATCTCTAAAGGCCATTGAGATTCATGTTCTGTAGAACCACAGTAAAGCCCAGGCACCTGAAGAGACCCACATCCTTGGGACTCCACGCCACGGTCATGCACCTGCCTGCTCGTGTCCACAAGCACTGGCTATTCTCTGGACAAAAACATCATGCATACAATTTTAGTGCTGCTAAAAGTGTTATCCATTTATGTACACAGCTGGGGGGACTAATGTGAGCAGAAAAGAGAATTTTTTATGTGGAAATGAATGTGTAAATGGATGTGAGGATTTTAGAAAAAATAACAAGGTTGGCCTTGTGACTTCTGGGAAAGGTCTCCAGGGTTAGTATTTTGTTGTTAGGGGCACGGTACCTGCATATATTGGCATCCTAGAGGATGTAACATTTAAGGCAATTCTTGTACTAAATTTAATACTGCTTAGATTTTGAAATGTCAAGTGAAGGAGAGTAATAGAGTTACTGCAATGTATCATTTCTTACTCAACAATTGGTAGAAGCTCTACCTTCTAATTTCCTTCCTGTTGTCTGTCCTTCAAGCTTCTTATCTTCCTTTGCTTTTCCTTGTCCCTCCCTCCTTCTCTCCCTTCCTTTATTTTTAATATCTCCAAGCCTCCAATTTCTCTTCGTAAGTGGGAATTTAAAAGACAGTCTCAATTGAATCTCTTTTTCCACTTACCCAAAATTACCCAAATGAGTTTTTCGCTTCCTTTATGTCTTACCCTTGGACCCCCATTTTGGTATTTAATACAGAAAGAACGGTGACGAATATCTTTCTTTGAGAGCAAGCCTTCAGAGTCAGGTCTTTATTGATAATCTCTCTCTGACTTCTGAATTTTAAGTGTCTCCAAAGTGCAGAATAAAAAAGCACTCTGACGACTTTTGTGGAATCAATTTACTTCCTCTCGTGCCCTCATTTGTCAGTCTGCTAGAGCTAATTCTAATGCAGTCGCGTTCTCTATGTGCGCRTTTATTTGTTTGATTTATGGAATTGGGGAAGGGGAAGGAAGAGACCCAAGACGTGCAACGAAAGCGAATGGGGCCTCTGTGCTTCAAATTCTGCGAAAGGTGAATTTAATGAAACTTAACTGTCAACAGTGCAGAAACTTGAGATTTAAAGGCATATAAATCACCGTGGAATCTAAAGTACAAGTAAGCTAAGTTTAAAAAAAGAAAAAGCAATTTAAATGTTTAGCCATCTTGTACAACAGAGTGTTTACTTCCTGAAACCGCTGAACTGCTTTTCCCTTGTGGTGATGAAAGTGGTCGGCTCATATGACTTTCTTCCTATGATCCTTTGTCACAGGTCCTAGTGCCACCAATCTCATAATAGGCTCCATCGCTGGTGCCATCCTGGTAGCAGCTATTGTCCTTGGGGGCACAGGCTGGGGATTTAAGTAAGCAACGCCGCATGTCGTCTTCTTGGTGGCTCTGGCACTTCTTTTTTTCTGCTTACGTAACCAAGTTTTGAGTTCCTGCTACAAGATTTTAACAGTAAAACTGTAAAGAATAAATATTTTTACTTTAGAAATGGGTTAGAAAGGAAGGAACATGGAGCCTCAAATGCCATCTCAGGCAAGTGGGATAACATTAAAAAGTAGAAAGAAGCTGGGCGTGGTAGCGCATACCTGTAATCCCAGTGGCTTGGTTAGGGAGGCTGAGGCAGGAGGATCGCGAGTTCAAAGCCAGCCTCTGCAATTTAGCCAGGCCCTAAGTAACTCAGCAAGACTCTGTTTCTAAATTATACATATAAGCTGGGGGTAGAGGGTGCTGGCTCAGTGGTTAAGTGCCCCTGGGTTCAAACCCTGGTTCAAAAAAAGAAAAGAAAATTGCATGCTTTCATTTAAGAGCAAAGTGGCTCTTCAGTAGAAGACATTGGCTGTAAGAGCCAGTCTTCTGAGATACTTTCCTGTATACACAGGTAATCAAGGAAGCATATTGGAAATAAATCAATACAAATCCCTATTAATATCTGTATAAAACTGGCTTATATTCTGGTGAAATTTTCACAACCTCAGTGACCTGGTAGTCATTATTTTTCACATGTAACGTATTATATGAGATTTGGAAAAGCTTCCTTGTTTGTAAAACAAGGTTGAAAAAATATTTTCATTAATTCCTTAACCAGCTAAATTGGTTTCCAGCTGGAATTTGAAATCAATGACTTTGTGACACTTAGTATTTTCTAATTAACTGCGAGTATTGACATAACTGACAGGCCTGGTGTGTTGTCTGAGTGACCTTTTACTTTGGATTGCATATCGATCACTTGACTAAGATTTTGCTAAAATAGACCACAGTGAATAATCACAAATAAGCCTTAATTCTGATCAAAACTTTTAAACCTGATTTATCTAGTTTGATTGTTTCTATATCTTAGATTCATTGGATAATCACTTTTTATGCTATGGTGACTTGATTATTATGATTTGTAGGTAAGCCTCCCRTGTCAAATATTCCCTGTGATAAATTAGGTTTCAACCAGATCTATTGAAATAACTTGAAGTGGAAAATAAAACCCATTAGCCAAATTCAAAACTCACTTTGCTTCCTTCCAGTTATTCAATATAGGAGGCTTTCTCTTCCAACTAATGGAACAATTGTCTTAATTATGAACTTTTTTGTAATTAATATTTGGGATACTGAATTTGATGTATTTAAGCAAGCTAAAATATTATTAGAAGCTGATTATGACAGATGAACCACCAAAATATATTTTAAATAAATTCAACATTTTCTATTTTTTTTTTGTTGTTATCAAGATGTAACAAATAAGCCTACAGTTTTTGAGTGGCTTCAACTTGGAAAGATAGTATCAAATGGTGCTTCTTTTCTATAGAGATATTATGAAGTTGAATTTATTCAGTGAAATAGTAGTTTGGTATCAGCACATTTGCATAAACACATACACAAAATGGGCACTGATATATGGATCTCTCCTCATAGCTTTAATAAGGCATTGCCCAGATGGTGGGTCACTCATGTGGCATCTCATAAGAATGTGTTTTTGTTTGGGATGGCCAAATTCTAGCTAAATCTTAGTGTCCCATAGTAGGGTTGGGGTTGTGGCTCAGTGGTAGAGGACTTGCCTAGCATGTGCAAAGCCCTGGGTTTGACTTCTACTACTATTAAAAATTTTACATCATTCTTCATTATAGCAATACCATAGTTCATTCTTATTTTATAATGCTCCCTGGCCTTTGACATAAATATGCCCAGGGATATGCCTTCTTGACATTAAGATACCTTACCATCAGAGACCTGGAAAACGGTCCACCATTCATTGTTGCCATGCAACCATGTATAATGCCAAATTTACCATTTTAGTATTTGGAGATAAGAGAACACTATTCTGTAGCAGGACCTCAAAACAGTGGCCTGGCCTAGCTCACAGCTTGAATTGCATGTTTCTTTGGGGAAAAATGGAAAAGCCTTTATCACTGTGTATAGAAGTGGATTAGGCCCTGTGCAGATGATTTCTATTTGTGAGAGATGAAGAGCAGGAGAAGAGGTGGCGCTTGATACTAAGTCACATAGGGAGTGAGAACCAGCCTCTGTGGCTTGCTTGGTGGAGACTGCTGTGTGGGTACATGCTGTGTGGGTACTAAGCAAGTCAAGGCCCCTTCCCATCCCCTGTGTCTCTGAAAATCACTTTAAGGGTAAATTTTGTAGAAAGTCACATGGACTATTGGATGCTACATGATTTTACTTTTTGATTCTAGTGGTAGCTGTGTAGTTTGTTTTAAGCCTGAAACAGTGACTTCTAACCATGAATAGAAGACTTTTGGTGCCAAATGATCATCTTTAAGTTTCCTCCCAACTTGGATAGTTTTGTAGACTATTAGTCTAGGGATAATTCAGAAGTACAGTTATTTGCTAGTTGAACTGAAAGCTTTTGAGTGTTTCATTGAGCACAGCAGAAATTAAACCAAAAAAAAAGAAGTTCCTTTACAATATGAAGTTGAAAATAATTTGTAAAGAAGATTGTTCTAAATATATTCTACTGGGATTCTTTTCTGAAATTAGTTTTGTATTACTAACAGAGAAATTAGCAAAGTCTCCTGAAGAATTTGAGAGTGTGTAAACTTTCAGATTAAAGGAAAATGTATTAATTGCCCAAGGACGATATTGCTTTTTCCTAATGTCACATTCCTTTAGGTGAAATACTCTAAATAATTTAGATGTGAAAGTGTCATACCATCCATGTCTTGCTGCAGTATACAAGCATAAGTGAGAAATCCCTCTATACTGTGAGCTGACACATAGCCTTTTTTAAATAATTCTTTTCTTCTGAAATAAGTGTTAAAAAGCATGAGTATATGAGTGTTTGCACTTGTGAATGTATGTACTTTGTGTGAGTAAGATGATGAATATTTATCAAAATTATTGTGATCCTACAATTAATACATATTTAGTAAAACGGTAGAGTCTGAAAGCTTTGGTTAATGTAAACAAGACTTCTGCAAGCAAGATTGGAGAATTCCCCTAAAGAAGAAAGTACTTCCTTCCGTGAGTTATTACTGCTAATTTACACATTCTGACATGTTGAGTAAGGTGGTGGGTGTATTTTGGTAATTGCTCTGGACTCCAGAGGTGAGGATGCTGAGGGATCATTAAGTCTATAGGTTCCCAGGTATTCACAGTCTCAGAATGTACTCTGAGAAGTCCGGTGGAAAATGAACATAGGTACATTGCACACCAATTTGTCCACCTTTCCCCATATCTATTATTTCTGTTCACCTTATACTGCTTTTCCACTTCATCACCTACCCACACAGAATAATGTCATGAACAGCGGCACAGAGCATTGCTAACCTCTGTCCTCGTTGACTCACAGAGGCTCCTGACACGTAATGCTGAATAACATTCTGCTCCGCTAGATAATTAAAGCTGTTGTTTTTGCCCAATACCGGAACACGTCAGGTAGATGATGGATCATTTCAGTAGTATCTTCCCTCAAGCTTAGGAGAAATGAGGCATGAATTTCTTATGTGCAGACTCTTTGGCCTTATTACCTTGGACAGGGATATTATATACAATCTCTAAATTTGGGTATAGGAATTTATGATTACTTTTTTCTCTTTCTTTCTTTCTTTCTTTCTTTCTTTCTTTCTTTCTTTCTTTCTTTCTTTCTTTCTTTCTTTCTTTCTTTCTTTCTTTTTTCTTTTGTGTGGTGCTGGATAGGGATACCATACCCAGGGCTTCACACATGCTAAGCAAGTACACATCCCCCACCCTGAATACAGGAATTTAGATATCAATAAAGTGATCACTTACATGCACACATCATTTATCAACACCATGGTTGATAGTGCAGAGAAATAGGAGCAGAGAAATTCTCAGTGATGGTAGGAAAGAACATGAGGGTAAGAGTGACAGTTTGTTGACAGCTCAAGTCACATGGATTCTAGGATTATTACTGAGCTGTTCAACCATCTTATAATATCTTTGTCTGTAGAAACCACTACCAACAGAGACCATACTGGCTTGCCGGAGCAGCTCCTGACACTGAAGGTGTTCATTTATTAAGCATGTAACTATCATATGCAGTTTTCTGTCTCTGAGAAGTTACTTGGTCTATGAGTTCATACCAAGCCTGACTTTGGCTCTAAGAGACTCTTTTAGGCCTGTGTTCCATTTTGTTGGACATGCTAAAGAAAAGATTATTGATGCTCACCTATAAAATGAAATTGAAAGGGCTATATCTTGTTAACTATATTAAACAAAATAAAGTGCCTCATTGGGGGTGGGAGTGGAGCATATTTTGATTTTTACAGCATTAGGAAATGGAATCAGTTTTAGCTGGTCTCCCTATGACTGGGCTAACCAGATGCCTGCTTTTCTAAATTCCATGACCATATCCCAGTGCAAAATAAGGAGCTGGATTCCCTTAATGCCTGGGACTCCCAGGGTAGGTACTTCATCATCCATACTTAGCAGATGGCTGACCAGGAAGATGCAATGTTATTTCCTCGACTCTTTCAACCCTGAGGATGTGAATTCAGTCCAAGGTGGTCTAGCAGAAGTTTGAGTGAGGAGTCCTTGGTAGCAGGTAGGGGTAAGGGGACTAAGTAGAGAAAGATAAGAACATAATAGCAGTCAATGACCACAGACCCTGCAAGATATCTATAGCTGTAAGATTGCTGTTGATACCTGGGTGGTAAATTTTAAATAGATGTGTATAATATGTACCTTGTAGACTAAAGCCCCAATTTTCAGAAGTAGTAAAAATTGATAAAAACTGTATCACTGGAAGGATCATGCTAATATTTTATAGTGACCCAGAAATACTTTCGTGGCTATTAGAAAGTAATTGCCCTCAGAATCTCAGGAGAGGGTAACCAGAGGAAACCGTTTGGGAGGGGAGACAACAATGACCTGCCCAAGAAAATTATACTTTCACATTAAAATTGAGCAAAAAGAATTTTGCTTTCATATAAAAAAATGCAGGACAGATGATTTGCAATGTAAGGTGGACCAGGGTGGTTTTGTGRTTCCTCTGTGAGAAGGCCTGGCAGTGTCTTGCTGCAAGGCTGTCCCCCTCTGTCCTCATCCTCCCCTGTACTGTAGCTTGCCTTTGACCTGCTGGAACATCAGTGGAAGGGAAAAGGTCCTGGAATCCAATCTCCCCATTCATATTCTGCAATGAAAATATTTTTCATCTGACCAAGGAACCCAGTGTAGAGCACTGTTTCTATAAAAAGTACAAATAAGCTTCAGAAATCAACCTTTAAAAGGAGCACATGCCTTTCAACACTGTAGATTGCCTGGGTGCCAGGCTGAAATAGAATGTTATATCTCCTCTAAAAACAAATCRCACTACAGTTACAACCTTGGACGTGAGAGTTTATCTGATATTCCCTGCATTTGAATTAAGGGATTTAGATGTGTGCAGTACAGTCATTTATAAGCACAGTCCTGACTTGGTTTGTTTTTTCCTCTACATTCAAATTAATTGAGGAGACATTAGTTTAACCCTTCTCCTGAGTTCTAGCAATACACAGCTAACAAGTTTGGGGTCTCTGGTCCTTCAGGGTCATTTCTCCAAATCAGGCAGTCTGTGTTTCTCCCACTTGACTCACAAAGGGAAATGTAGCTCCTTAAATTTCTGCTTCAGGGAACATGAGCTTGGGTAGCAGACACAGATCCTGTGCTCCACAGCAAACGAGCTCAGTGGAAGATACATTATGAGAGACTCTCCCATTTGTTTTTTCCTCTTTCCTGGGCAGGATCAGCATTGTCTCCTTTTGAGAATATTGACTCAAAGAGTGGGTGGCAATGGTGAAGAGAACTAAGTAGGTCTGTTGCAAATAGAGTTCTCTGCAACGGATTATCTGTTAGGCTGATGAGCCACATCCTCTGGCCATTCTTGATGTCTTAATGGAAACATTTTTAAGAACAGAATGGGGAGGTTTGCCTTCAAGGTGGTCCTTTGGAAAAATAAAAACTTTGCAGAATGCCTTCTCCATATTTTGATCTTTGGTGGTGTTTTTATTTTGGATTACTCATGGGGGAGGAGGAATCTGTTGTCATCTTTTTGGTACTTAGGGCCTGCCAGGGTATCCACTGGCGCTGATGAGTGGCAAGGGAATGAGGAACTTGGGGACTCCTTGGTCTCCAGTTTTGCATGATGCCTTGGTGGCAGCAGCATTGCACCCGCCAGTATGCAAAATAATGCATGAGCCCTTGCTTGATGCCCCACATGAAGCCAGACCATGGGGAGGTTGCAACCAACTTTTGTTGTTGCCTTGTAGTGTCTTGCTGGTTTTTTTTTTTTTTTCATTTCTCTTTTTAAACATAGGAATCACTTTTTAGGAGACTGGACACTGTGAGCAAAGCAATGTAACTTGCTTATTTTCAACTAATCTAAACTGCTGCATTTGCTTAACTAACCCGAGCCTGTGTCCATTCTCCTTTGAGTGTGCCACCTAACTGTGTACTCTGTTTCTGAACTTTCTAGTATGAAAAATGCTTGTTCCATAGTGGGGAAGGAGCTCACACACCCAAGGCAGAAGATAACTAGTAGAGCAAGGCTTTTTTTTTTTTTTTCACCTTGGCAAAGGCCAAATCCTCTGGTCCAGAACTCTGGAGGCTTGAAGGGAAACAGCTCTAAGATTTTCAGAGTTTTTCTCATTCTCCCAGGAGCCTCTACATGGAAGAGGCCTCCCTGTAAAGATTTTCATCTAGTGAATGAGCAATGTCATTTACTTCTGAAATAAGGGGTAAATTGAGCCACAGAGTGTGCCTGTGATTGCAAATGAACAATTTGAAGTTTCTTTTGCTTTACACCCAAGTGCATAGTCTAGTGGGGAGGTACAGTGATATTCAAAGGCATTGGCTCTTGTGTGTTTCAAGTTATTTGGGGCTACTGCCTCTGTGTGAGTTGATTGCTTAGCTCTGGAACTAGCGTTGCTATCRTAATCATCATCTCTCTCTTATCATCATCTGATTAATATTGTGGATTTCCCCCCCTCTGCTTGCATCTTGTTTTGACGCACTCTGGAAGAAATGTCAAGAAGAGGAGGTTCGATCCGACTCAGCAAGGCCCCATCTGAATCAGCTGCATGGGATGATGCCACCTTGCACTACTGGGTCCTGGGTGTGACACACTTGCCGCGACTATGCAGGAACTCTTAAGTCTGTAAGCAAGAACACTGGGTGGTAATGACTACAGAGCTGAAGTCCGGGTGATGGGGATGGGGAAAAAGAAAACTGTCCCTTTTGGAAATAATCTCAAAGAACCCCTCCCACAACCTGTCAATAAAAGTGGGGCAAAAGACCATGTTATCAAAAGAACTGTTTGGAATCCTTTTTTTTTTTTTTCCCCTAAGGAAAGGAGAAAGGAACAAAAAACATTAAGTGCAATAAAAGAACCATTAAAAAATAGCAAATGATTATCCCCMCCCCCTCAGCCTGCTGGCACTTAATATCTTCTAAATGATTTGGCATGATTTTTTTTTTCTTTTACTACCAATGACAAACTCCAGTGGCATGAAGATTCAATTTTTGAAAGGGTAAAATCTGCATGGCATATATTACTAGAAGCTAGCAAGCCAATCCTCAGCAAAACCTGCAATGGAATTCCTAAGGGGAAGATGACAAATGACCACGCAGAAGCTGCCTGGGCCTACAAAACACATCCTCACCCATGCTCACCCCCTGTGGCCCCTTCCCCAGCCCCTTAAGAGCCCCCAATCCCCTCTAGATGAGTCCTTGGCTGAACTTCGTGGGACCATGCTCTTGTTGATTCACTTTCCCTATTATTTTTCCTTCTGGACCAAGCATCCTTTGGAAATGGGAGCTGGAATTTGAACCATGATGCTATTGTATAGTTCTTTTATAAATGTAAATATGGAAATAAGAGATTTTGACACATCATTTTCACTTGTCTGTACTGAGATTTTTTTTCCTTGTCAAGATTCTGTGTAAATTCAAGTTTGTTGCTTGCTCCCATCTTTTCTGTTTCTTTTCTTTCTTTCCTTCTTCGTCTCTGTCCTTTCTTGTACCATGTCCTATGATTGTTGGGCTTGCTAAAAAGACAGACGTAGCCACAGATGCAGGGAGTTTGAGCACAAAACAAGTCTAACTTAAAGTTAGACTTAAAGTTAGTATGCTGGAAACCAAAAATAAACAAAAGGGTGGGGGTCACAAACAACAAAATAACCCATATCAAACAACAAAAATTATGTAAATGCAAGTGAAATGCACTGAAGAGTCTCTAAAATATTTTGATGTCATCATAAACATATGTATATAATGTAAGAAAGTAGCCACCCTCTCAAATTAATCACAGAAGTGCCAAGCTCATAATTTTAGTTTTTGGTTTTGACAATTTTCTTTCCCTATCCTTAATGTGAAAGGAGGATAAACTTAAAGCCTTAAATAAAAAATAATAATAAAACAGTAATTTTTAAATGTTGAAAGCTTGGGGAAAGTTAAGCTTTCCATTTTATTCATATTTTGTCTATACTTCATCTTTCTCTCTCAAAAATATATATGGTAGAACTCCATTGTAACAGTGGGAATGGAGACAGAAGCAGCAATTAACCTTCTTGTTGGCATTGTTGTAACAGGCTGTAATTCTGTGTGCAGTATTTTCTGGAAGCCTCGTTTGGCCCACAGCATTTTGTTGACACATAGAATGTTGTGCTGGATTATAATGGGATTCCACTATATGCAAATTCATGTTCTTCTTTTCCCTCCAGGAACATTTGCAGATAAAATCTTGGGGTTCCCAAGTCCCTCTGAGTTTCCTTCACTTTCACTGATTTTTTTTTCTGTTTATGGTTAAGGTATAGCTTCCATTCAAGTGCTAAGCAAACAAATTAATAAAGAAATTTGGTCAAAACAGCTTTGTTTTCCATGCACAAACTTTTGCATCACCAGTGAGCATCATCTAGAGACGAGTTTCTACTAAAGGTCCCCATAGACCCACCCTGCCAATTCTCCATGTCTCTGTTTTAGGAACAGGACATTCCAGTTGTACTATTCATTTCTTCATGGTACCCAGTTAGTTTCTAGATTTAGCACTAAGTCCCTTTTCAGCAAGATTCATAATATGAGTTTTATAACTTGTTCTTTGACTTTGGAAAAGGTGATGTCCTAAAAATGTGCTGCTTAAAACATTGGGATTTCCCCCTAGGGTATCTTTCATTATAGAAATTTCACAATCATAGAGCAGAAACCTTAATTTCCATATGCTACCATAGACCACAATTGAACATTCTAATCCTGTTATTGCTTCCTGAGTAAAAGGTGCTACACAGGTATGCAGCCTTTCTCGAGAACTTGCTACATGTTTATATGGTAATAACAGGGCTATCTAAGAGGTTCATCAGCCTTACTTCTGGTTTCACGTGACACAGGTTGTATTCCTTTACTGAATGGAAATGGCTCTTCAAGTTCAGAGGAAGGTTGGAGGAAACTCAGATTACTTGGTATCTCTCCCTGTTGCTGCATTGCTTAGTGGGTCCTCACCATTAGGAGATACCAAACTGCTGCTAACAACACACATATGCATTTCCCTCCTGTTACAGAGGTACCATGGTGACTTAATAGACACAAAACCATATGGTTACAAAAAAAATCTCTATTGTTAACTTTTGAACATTTCACAAACAACATTGTAAATGTGCGATGTTATGTTTTAAATCAGACCACAGTGGTCCCCAGATATTATGTACATATGGCAAATGTCAGTATAACTTTTTGTTATGCTGGCAATTTCAAGGGTAACCAAACCTATGCTCCAATGTCAAATTATTTGTGTGTATATGTAAAATACACAAGCTTTAAGCTCTGTGTGTATGAATATGAAAGATAATGCAATCATATTGTAAACAAAGGATAATAATTATTTTTGATGGTATTAGGTTATGTAGTTTCAAACTCTGCTGTATTTCCTCTCGCACCTGCCATTCATTTGCTGATTTCTGTGATGTGAATTCTCCTTTTTATTAGTTTGAGCTCAAAGCACAAGCAGATCACTGTTTAATGTTACCCAACAAGAGTGTTAAGTGATGACCAAGTTCCCATTTCACCTGCTATACTTTTACTGCGATAAATAATGACATCTGGATGAGGAGGCGTGCGCTAACTTCATTGCTCACCTGGGACAGTGCATGAGCCCACTGAATTAGAGCTACTCCTACTAGACAAATGAGCAGTATCCATAGGTGCATGTTATGAAACATGAATCACATAGAGCTGTGGAGTTTTACCAAGTGATGTGTGTGTTTTTTGTTTGTTTGTTTTGTTTTTGTTTTTTTTTACTATGCAAAGATGGGAAATGCACAAACTTTTCAGAGACTGATGTCTGAAGAACTCTACAAACAATACTTGAATTCTTTCTTTAGTCATCCCATCGTGTCTGATAGTCATTGTTTCTTCCATTGTTAATTTCCATTTTTAAATGATTTGTAATTTTTTTAAGTGCACAACCTGAAGTTTTGTTTGAAGTTAATAAATTCATTCACATCTTGTTGGCCGCCTATGAATGGAGATTCAGTTATTGTACGCATCTTTCAGTCAAGTGTATATTAAAACTTTCATTAATGTAGAATGTTGTAGCTTTATGCTTTGATCACTTATTCCCAAAACCTTTTTCTGTGTTCTCTTGCATTGTTGATTAAATGACCATGTGCCTGACATCATCAGAGTTTTAACACCAATCTAGATCAAAGGCTCACTGAAACTTTAAGCAATCAATGGAGCAAAATAAAATCTGACTAGTGACAAATGTTTTCCTGATTAGGATTCAGTTTTATTGGATTGGTTGGAAAGTCTTTGCTTCTTAAAAATCAGAAAATCATACTGTTATCAACTTCTGTTGAAATTTTTTTTAATTGTAGATGGACACAATACAAATACCTTTATTTACTTATTTATTTGTATGAGGTGCTGAGGATCTAACCCAGTGTCTCTCACGTGCTAGGCTAGCGCTGTACCGCTGAGCCACACCCCCGGTCCTGTTATCAACTTCTTGTTTTTAAGTATCCCTCTGAGTTGAAAGAGTGGTGGCTAGTAATAATATCCACATTTCAACTTGGCACCACATTAAAAATCAAGATATTTGGGGACTGGAGTTGTAGCTCAGTGATAGCAAGCCTGCTAGCATGTGTGAGGCACTAGGTTTGATCCTCAGCACTACATAAAAAATGGATAAATAAAATAAAGGAATTGTGTCCATCTACAAGTAAAAACATTTTTAAAAATAAATAAAATCAAGATATTTTTAAAACAGAAGAAAGTCTGGTTCTGCACATCAAACACATTCAAAGGAAGATATTTCCTCCCAGCTCATAGTCACCACATTATAGTCCTTCTTCGTGAATGTCTGCAGTATGTCTTCCCTCTACCTCACTGCCATGCTTGGTTTGGCCTCTAGCATATATGAGACACAGCACTGATGCCCAGAAGTGCTGACAGACTAGCGGAAGCCTGCTGGGGCTCTTTTCCCAGAGGATACATTCCAAGTTCTGCCTGCCTTTCRTGATCTTGCCCCTTTTAATTAATTTTTTCTAGCCTTATTGATGCTCATCCTTTCTCAGTCACTTAAAGTTCCCCTAAAAAAGTCTTTTTCTAACCAAGCCTGAATAATCTTTAAATTTAATGTCCATTATCTATAATCCATTTGTTTCAATGTCACTGCATGTAATAAAGTGACTTTAAGTCATAAAGAAACACTTAAAATAGSACAAATATTATACTTAAGAAAACATATTGGAGTGTCCTTTATATCTGATTTTAAAGGAGTGATCTGAGTTTTCAGTATGTTGTCCTTTAAATCATTCTCTTTTTGAGGTTGATATTGAGATGTGCTCTACTCTGCTTCCTGGTAACTGATTGAGAAAGGTGACAGAAATTCCCTAGATAATAGAACAGCCACTCTAGAGTTAAAAATTATTGGCTGTGAATAATTAGGTGAATAATCTATATGCTGAAGATAGAATTTGTAAAAAATTTAAATATAACCCTTTAGTTTAATATATAAGATTCAGGGAATTCTTATTCATTTATTTATTCAGCAAATATTTATTATGCCATATACTTTATGCCAGGGACTCCTAAAAATAGAAGGAACAAAAGAAAAATATCAGCCTGAAGTTTAACAGCAGTGTGTGTGTGTGTGTGTGTGTGTGTGTGTGTGTTTATAATTTTAAGTCTCTAAGCCCAAAGTAATAACTAAAGTAAACTAATGGAGAACTGGGGGTAAAAAGAAGAGGACTGATGGCAGGTAAGACAGGGATACAGGAAGGATTCCTTAAAAACAAACAAAAAAACAAGTGAGTTTTGAACTACCTTGAAAAATGGTAAGAGTTCACCATTCTAATAAAATGGAAAATATATTCAAGGTACAAGAATCGACATGTGCAGAGACCCAGCAGGAGAAGCCAAACCCTTGGGTAAGTAGAGCTAAGCGTCAATCCATTCAGACTGTTTCCTCCCTCATCTATCTCCCACAAACACTTGACCTATAAGGATCCTGCATATGCCATGCCCCAAGGGCACAACAATACACCTTCCATCCACACTTAAAAACAATGTGAGCCCAGATTACACCTGTAATCCCAGTGGCTCTGGGG